GGCTCCCGGGAACGCGTCGGGCGGGAGCGCCCGCACCGCCCGCGGCCCGGCGGGGTCCGGCGGCCTGCGGGGCCGGGCGGCTCTCGGCGGGGCCTGCGCTCCTGGTGCCCGGGCTGCCCCGAGGGGCCCTCGGCGTCCCGGTGTGGTGCGGCGGCTCCCCGCGCTGCGAGCCGGGCCGGCGCTCCCACCCGGAGAACCGAGCGCTGCTTTTCGGCCCCGGTGCGCCGCGAGGCAGATACCCCTCTGCAGCCTTCCTAATCTCTTGTAATCCGCGGAGCCTTCCCCTAGTGTTTGCGCGGTGCTGTTCAGTCTTCCATTCATTCGAGCTCGGTAAAGCATGGTCGTCCCGTGCGGAGACCCGACGGCTGAGATTGGTTCGATTTGGTTGTGAAACTTAGTGGTGGTCTAAGGAAGGAGGAAAGGAAAGGAGATGGCACGATCCGAACACAAGTGTAGTCTTGAAAAGGTGGTTATGCAAGATGGCACTCTTGCTTTCCATGTAGATGCTGCTTTAAAGGTGTTTGTTTTCTGTTGTTGGAGTTCGCTTTCATTCTTTCAGGGCAATACTTTTTATGGAGTACACTGAAGGTTAGTTTCCTTTTTTTTAGATTCGGAATGTACTTGAGTATTTTTTGCAGTATGCGTGTGTGATGTCTTAGCTCTGAGATCTTTGTCAGAGAGACTTTGCAAAACCATCCAAACTCGGCCGTAGTTGAAATTCTGTTTAACCTTACTGGCTGATGGAAGTGGTTGATGAAACATAGGTGGATTGCTTACATCTATGTCAGAAGTTGTCCACAAGAGTTAATATTTTACTATCATGTAAATACACAGATTTTTTTTCAGTTTAGTGCTCAGCTGATCTGTACCCATTAATGTGATAATTCCATAAAAATATTTTCCCATCTTTTCTGTTACAGGTTTCTGTAGTCAGTTTTACCAGGTGTGGGGGGGGATGTTGGACAGAAATCACCATCTGAGACATAACAGGCAGTTATTTTTTTTGTTGTTGTTGTTTACAAGCAGTGTAAAACCACACCACTAGAATGGGAGGTGACTGCTGATTTTGTACTAAAGTCTTTATTAATATGAAGTTGTCCTGAGTAAGTTTAGGGAACTTTGGCTTTAACTTTTTTTTCTTTCTACCAGACTTCTAGTAGAGTAGGTGTTCCAGTTATGGAGTGGATAGAAATATATGTAACCTAAAACTTCAGAGCCTTCCTCTTTAGAGGAGACTTCCTTTCAGTCACATATGCACACTGTCTGTGGAAGCATAAGCATTTCTATCCATTTTTATGTGGAACAGGTTCTTGCTTCTGGAACTACCCCTTTCTGCTTGAGGCTGTGCCACTCAGGATTCTTTATTGCTATAGACAGACTGTGAAGTGGACATTGATATAAAGAATATGTAATTGCTTCTTAATATGCTGTGACATTCACTCCAGGTTCTAATTTAATCGATGAAAGCTGAGTTACAGTAGTGAACAGACACCTAAAGGATCGTTTCTTTAATGAGTTGTTTGGTGCTTGTACCTCTTTGAATGTTTTTTTTCCTACTACTGTAGGACTATATTATCTTCCTGTAACACTTATTATCAAAAGAAGGGTCAAAAATCCAAAGAAGAATTGATGGTTGGCTAAGGAAGGGCAAGGTACAAAGAGTGACTAACAGTGATCAACAACAAGGTCTCCACAGAAGAGAGAAAGTGGATGTTTCTTGTAGTTTAGGCTTGAAAAACTGTGTTAGGGTTAATTTGTGAAGATAGAGCTTGTTTTTATATATTCAGCAAGATTGATTGTTAACAGAGAAAGCACTAAAAGACAGTGTAAACTGGGCAGTATGTATTAGGAAAAGCTAATTCTGACCTCTTTTTATTTCTTGCAAGTGATGGAAATTGTGTAAAGCATACTTGTGTAGAGGAAGTCAGAGCACAGAAAATTTGGATGAAAGATGGTCGTAGTTACAATGTATGTGAAGAAATCTCATTTAGCATTATAAAATACTTTTCAGTCTTATTCCATATAGTCTTATTCTTCTCGTCTTCCTTCTGGCCTCTTCTCTAAACTCAAAACTCCTCATGTAACTTTCTAATCAATTATACTTCTGCAAAGTTCATAGGATTGAGTCAGATGACTTCACAAGTAACATGCATGTGGAGGTATCTAAGAAAGAGAGAAATCTTTTACTATGATTTTGTTGGTGTTGTATTTTCAGTGACTTTTGCTTCCTCGGGGTTGCTCTTCAGAAGCAGTGCTCATAACTGAGTGTTTTTCAAATCTTTTCCTAGAGCTTTATCACAGCAATAGAGATGTGAATCAGTCCCACCAGGAGACTTCAGTCATAAAAGAGTATAAAATGTTATTCAAGTAAAAAATATCATGGGGATGACAGGAGTTGGAAATAGTGATAGTTTTAAGGTTAGTCAAGACTAAGCTGCTTTTTTTGTATTCTGTATTTAATCACTTTCACTCTTGTAACCTGTATGTTGTATTGTACCTTGCCTAAGGTGATGAATTGGCCTAAAAAAGATGGGTTTAGTGTGGCCCTTCTTTAGATGCACATAGAAGTGATCAAACCTTAGATGCATTTTGAAAACTGTGTCTTATACCTTTCATGGACTGTTAAATGTTTCTAGCAGTAACTCAAAATGCATAGGTGCATTTTGATAATATGTCCATAGATGAAGAAAATATTACCTGTGGTGTGACAAGTTGAGAATCTGCCTGCGTGGAAAGACAGAGTACCACATCTTACAGCCAAACTGGAGTCGGTCCCAGTGTTGCCATTTGGATTGATTTGGACAAATGTAAGGGAGGCATGTGTTAAAATGGCCCATGTGCTTCTAGATTACTTGCCAGTCTGTGATTTCCAGGATATGAGCTTCTCTTCCAGGATTTTCTATGGAAAAACAAAACAGGAGTTTTTTAGATCTGAAAAGAACTAAGTGTTCCATGAGTACCCGTAGAAGACCTGGTAGTCAAGCTGTCAGTGAAACAAAAGCAAGGACATCTGCCTTTTTGTTCTTAGCACCAGAGTCTAGGTCTTTATAAGAATAGCAAAACTTTGCTGCTTCTTCCAGGAAGCTGTAGCATGGAAGCATTAAAGGCACTGTGGGCAATATTCTGAATTGGTCTCTGGGAATGCTGATTGTCCTCTTCTGTCCCTTTTTCCAGAAGGGAAATGTTTGATTTCTGTGTTCAGAAATGAAGTAGACATATTTCTTTCAGTTTCAGCATAATAACAGGAGGCCATGCTGTTGTCTTGGGCTGTGTGTGTGTGGGGGGGTTTATTGTTTGTTTTGAGGGATTTGTTTGTTTGTTTTTTAAAGTATTAGTCTCCCCAGAAGCTGAAGCAAACAAACCTTTTCTTTCTCAGGACCAGTAGAAAAGGCACTAACATCTTTCTGAAGGAAAGTAATTTTGTTGTATGCCTTTCCTCTAGAAGTGAACAAGAACTGATGAGATCAAGCTTTTCAGTTTCAAAAGGAAGTTAACAGTGAATGCAGACCATTAGAAATGATGAATATGCAGTTTTCAGTCGTTTGGGAGATTTGTTCATTGAAACAAGCTCATATGAATCACTAGGTTTTTTTACAGCAGGCCATAAAAACTGCACTGTGGTCTGATTCGTTTGGATACCAAGGAATCCGGAAGCTACTGTAAAAATTAAAATATTCCAACCCCACCTCCAGTATTCCTGTGTATTTTCCTCCCATCAGTTTGTGGCTGATCAGCACTGGTTGTCTCCCTTGTATAACACACAGCTTTCTGGTAAAATTGCAGCTGTGTAACTGTGTTGACTAAAACTTCCATGGTCAACTGCCTTTATGCAGAGGAACAGAAAATGGCATAGAGCGACTGCTTCGTGCTTTGCAGGAAAGTTGTTGTTTATGGTAATGACCACTTTTCATAGCATTTTTCCTGTAGTGTCAGTCCTGCTTATTTGAGCTTTGTGTGTTGTAACTGCTGAGTAGTAATATCATGATCAACACCATGTGTTAGTATTATGTTTGGCTTAGTTTTGGTAATATGTCACTACATGCAAAGGAATATCCTCGGTATTTTTACCCAGTGAAATGACCTGTTTTCTTCATTTCTACCTGTCTGGTATATGTCTTATTTCTGTGATTCTCCACACCACCCCCCCCCCCTTCATGTCATAA